TGATATTAGATAATAGTATTATATTTATTCTATTTACCATATTCTATTCTATTTTCACGAAATGAAATATTGATTCAAATAATTAAGATATAATTTTACTAAGATCTATTTTTGAATCTATTTAAAGAAAAAATATAATTTTCTTTTCGACTATAGAAATTATAATAATTAACTTTATGTGTAGATTTTGATAACATATCATTTAATATTGATAATCAATCTGAAAATGTTTGAATTCTAAAAAAAATCTTTAGTTTTTAATATACATAATCAAAGCTAAATAAAAATTGTTATGAAAAAAAAAATATGGAAACCTAAGTCAAAAGTAACAATTTCATTTTGAATTTATACAAAATCAATATAGAAATAGATATAAATAATACAAAAATACACATTTAGAAAAAAAATTTTTATATGATAATCTTATGAAAATTTTTTTTTATCACAACTAATATTCAAATTATCGAAAAAAATATTACGACTATTCTATGCTATTAAAACACATTGTTAAAACAGTATATTTAATCGATAGTAATCATAATAATAATTTTCTTTGTGAAATTCTAAAATCAAAATATTAATTAAACTAAATTGTAATAATAAATGAAATTCTTTGAAAAATTATTTTTTATCGATTATTCTATTTTTTATTATTAATTATGTCTAACAAATTATTATTTAATACATTCTTAATACAATTTCATGCATTATATTCATTTTTCATTTGTAAAAGCAAACATAGTAATAATGTTTTATTGAACATATATTATGTTTATATTTTATGTTTTTATACATACATAAATTACAAATTTGTTTTACGAGATTTTTAAAACTATTGAATAATAATTAGTATTATATTAAAAAAATTAAAATAAAAAAAAAACATTTATTTGTAATATTTATATCATAATTTTAACCAAGAAAATTTTATTCATTATTTATATTTATAATATATCTATATTATTATGACATATATGTATTTTAATTATAATTTTGTATCATAAATTCAAAATTTGCGATAATAAATTTTCAATTATTTATACAATATTATTTTCGCCTAATGTTACTTTTGATTTTTGGTTCTTTCTAATTCAAAATTAAATATAAATATAAACAAATTTTTACTCAAATTAAAAAAAAAATTTAAATTTAAATTATTATTTTAAAACTATGAATATTTCATTTAATTGAATTTTTTGATATTTATTATAAATAATATATTTAATTGTGTAAAATGATATATTTAACACAAGAATATATACAAACATAGTTTAATAAATTTTAACGAAATACATTTAAAATGCATGTATTTCAGAAATAAAATATTTGTAGAAATGTGATATTAAATATATGTGACATTTTAGCATATTCTACTTTCTTCAAATTAATAAATAATTAAACTTTATAAAAATATATTATAAAAATTATAATTTTTGTAAAAAATATTTCGATTCATTTACTTTAAATGAAAATTTCAATTTAATTTTTAAATTTTAAAATCGATTTATAAATCGATTAATTAATAATTATATAAATTTAATAAGCAGATAATTTATTTTTTTGTGATTAATATTTTGTTAATTGTAATGCCAATATATATATTATATACCTTTGTTATGTATATACAATAAATATTATTGTAAAATTAAAGTTTCTGCTCCTCCTCGTCGTACGACGATTCCATTTGATACTTTACTTTCCTCAGTGTACTTAATTTTATATCTAAATACTCTAAAAAGATATATTTTTATATATATATCTTATAGAATATCAAAATTTATATCAATTTTCTAATTTAAAATATTTTTACTTACGATAATATATTATTCCACATCTGTGTTTGTTTTTCATTTATTGAGTTAATTTCTTTTATATGTTCTTTTTCCATTATTAAACTTTTTATTTTTGCTTCTTCTGCTTGGATAATGAAATTTAATTCTTCTCTTATCTTTTTACCAGGATTAGAAATTGTAGCATCCTATATAATAATACTTATAATTACACATATGAAAAATTACTTAACAAAATAGTTTATAAAATTTAACTAACTTTTATGTCCTGTTTTATTTTTTCTTCTATAATCTTCATTTTAGCTACGAGTTTTAGTAATTCTTCTTTCTCTTCAATATCCTTTTGATAGAATAATTAAGGGAATAAAATAAAAATATCTAATACAATAGACATTATATTGATTACCTTCATTAGTTTTGCTTTTCTATTTTCCAACTCGGACTGTAAATTATTTATTAAGATATTCATATTCGATTTTACTTCGTCTTGTGCTTTTTTCGTTTTCTCTTGTTGTTGTTCAAATTCATAATATTTTTCTTTCAATGTCTGCACTTCTATAATATTAAAAATATTTGAATTTTTTTATCATATTTTAATATATATTTTATCATATTTTAGTATGCATTCATACCATTTATCAATGGGATTAATTTTGCTTTAAAGGCGGATATATCTCGACATAATTGAAGATTCGTCGAAAATGCATTTTCTTCTGTGAAATTATTTGGACTATTTTTCTTAACCGTTTCCAATCTTTCTTTCGCCTGGTTACATTGATTATACTAACAGAAATAATAATTATTATTATTTAAACATATAACAATATTATAAAAAGTACCTGATTTTCTAAGATGGCGGCAGTTCGATATAATATACTGTTCTCCGCATTAAACCATGTCAGTTCAGATTTACAATGTTTATAAAGTGTTCCCCTAGTTCTTAAACGATTTATGTATTTTTTTAAATCTTCTCCTTTAGGAATGATGTCTTCTACTATCAATTTTGATAATTCACGTTTTTCTTCTAATTTTACCTGCAATTCTTGTAAAGAATTCGCTGTCTTCTCCAATTTTTCAAGAACATTTCTTTTTATATTTGCAACTGCAGCTGCTTGTTGTCGAAATGGTTCTATTTTATCAATGTTATTTTTTGTAATCTAAATAAATTTATTTAAATTTATCAATTCAAATTTATTATCTAAATATATAAATTCTAAATATATTCATAGATAAAAGATATATTATGATATATTATAAAATTGATGTTTACCTTTAATTCTATTAAATTTTGAATCTCTTTGGCTATACTATCCAAATTATTTCGTAGATCCGTTATTTGATCTGGATTCAAATACGAATACTGTTTTACTATGTTCAAGGCTTTTATACGATTTGTCTTTGCATATATTTCTGTCGGTAATTTTTCATTCGTAACTACAGTTTGAACAGTAATTACTTCAGATAAATGTTGCAATAATGTTTGAACTGTAATTTCATCTTCATCTTTTTTTAAGGTTTGTAATTCTCTCTCCAATCTTTGTAAATTAGACTAAAATTTGTATATATAATTTTTATTAAAGTTAAAATAAATCTTAAATTTTTCAATTATTAAATATATTTTGTACTTGTAATCTAGATATTATTTCTTTTTCTTGTTCCTCTTGCAATATTAAATCGCGTTCTTTATCTTTTTCTATTCGCAAAGCTCGGGCAACATCCAATAAATGCATTCCAATTTCAGCTTTCATTCTCATCTTTTCGATACGTATAATTACTGCCTACATAATTAAATTATTTCGAATAAAAGGAAAGATTAAAATCTACAAATAAATATACTCACTTCTTTTTCTTTTTCCATTGTTTTTAAATCAGCAGTAAGCTCACTAGCATTTTCATAATTCTATGTTTATGAAAACAAAATTAAAAAAACAATTTTAATAAATAAAAAATAAAATAAAATAATATCAATGTGATCTATTACCTTCTTTCCTATTTCTCTTTCCTTATGCACTGTTTTAAATCTATCAATCAAAGTCATGTATTGTTCATAAAAAGCGACAACTTCTGGATCGCTTAAATATTCGCTAGGAACCTCTATCTAATTAATTATAATAAAATTATTTTCCAGAAATAATTTTATGAAAATAAGTAAGTATTGATACATATGCATACATATATAAATATATATGTATACCTTTACTAAAAAGCGTGATAAATAAGCTCTTTTTTGAACCACATCTATATGAGATAAAAGCCAGGTAAAAATAGGATGAATAATATCAGAATCTCCACGAACCAGACCTTGTCTACCCATATACAAAAATAAATACAATCAATTCGTAACGATTGAATTAAAATGAAATAAAAAACTTGCCTAAAATTCATAGGATCTATTTGTGGCTGATAATGAAATATACGCAGAATGGATAAAATATAAATGGAAATTTCTTCAGAAGTCTCATTCCTTATATTAACATTACCATCAATATTTTGATTTTGTATTTTAATCAACAACTCCTTCAATACCTACAATGCAACTTCATAAACAAAACAATGCATAAACAGAACAATTTTAAATGACATAATTTTTTAACTTATTCAAGAATTAAATTTGTCAATGAAAAGAAAATATTATAATATCAATTCTTACTTGAAGCAATTCTTCTGGGCTTAGAGAATTGAAATAAATCACATTATAATTACGTCCCAACAATTTGTTCACCTCTGTCACAATGAATTTAATGTTCTCTTTCATTATGATGTAGTTTTTTCTCTTTTTCAAAGATTCTAAACTATTTAACTTAGAAATAAAACTAATTAAATTAGAGAAATGTTTTGTTGTTATAAACCGTCGTCCTGGCAACTGATCATGTTGCATCTCTCTCTCTTTCTAAAAGTATGCTACATATATATCGTGTGTATAGAAATTTTCTTTATATATTTAAATTATTAGAAATTTCGTTTAAAACTAGTTGTTAATTGAATGTGATACATGATCCTATCGAATCATTTTTAAATTATATCAATTGTATAGCTTATATGCATACATATCGATTTTATGGCAATTTGTACTCTAATTATGTTAATTATATTAATAGACATTATACAAAATTGTATATCCTATATATAATTTATATAATTATAGTGTTAAAATTAATTTAGTGTTAAAATTTTAATGACTAGATTTATGTATAAAAAACTAATTATAATTAAAATTATACAATTAAGTTAGAAATTAAGATTTTAATTATTTCAAGTTTCTATTAATATAGTAATTTTTTACATTTCATGGTAAATAAAGCATTAGATAAAATGCCAAATATAGTTTAAGAATCATAATCAGTTTTATTAAAAGGAAATTTATCCAGCACAAGATTATAATTAGCAGATAACGACAGAGATCATATTGCCTTGTTTTCTCTTCTTCTTTTTCTTCTTTAAATATATTTTTAAATATAACATATGATCTTTTTTTTTGTCATATAAAATTGCAGTGCTTTCATTTCCTTATTTTTCAACAATTACACAATTTTGATATGAAAAAATTTGGGAATTAGTTTATGAATTTACTTCACCTTTGATAATACAGCAAATATATATATATAATATATATTTGATTTTATGACAATTCATAATTTATGTAATGCATAAATTGATTTGAGCATAATTTCTCAATTATTAATATTAACTGTACTTCAATTTTTGTTATTTAATAAACTTCATCACTAAATAGTGTGTCAGTTTTTTGTATATATAGATGTTATCAGAACAATTTTCATTCGTTTATATAAGTTAAGATACGAAAGGGAATGTATATCAAAGATATCAAAGAAAAATATTTACTGACATTTGACTATTTGCTATGATTAAAAATGTGATTAATTCTGTTTCATTTCTGCTTTTTGATATTAATATAACATTTTTTAAATTCTTATAATAATGTTGCATATGCGTATTATAAAAATGACTTGTGAAGTTTTATAAAAAGAACCATGCAAGTCATATATTTATGACAATGTTTAATAATCAGTCTAAAACTTGAACAATGTAGCAACGTTGTGATAATCAAATACTGAAAATGAAGATTGCACTATATATAAATAGTTTAATATATATGTATAATCTATATTTTAATATATATATATATATAAGTACCATAATATTGGATATTAGATGTTACATAAAGGATAGAATTTAATGAGTTGAATATCTATTTTTTTCAAAACAAAAAACAAAATAAGAGGGGAAAAGAAAATTCCTTAAATGTATCTTGATTTATGAACAATACATTTGCAAAATTCAGTGTGCACAATATAAAAAATTAAAATTATGATAATGACTCGCTTTCAATATTATGCAACATCTTACTTAGTGCTGTGTAAATTTAAATAATTTTATTTAATTCGGTGCGTGTCGATAATTAAGCTTTCTCTTAACCTCCAATTCTCGAATTTTTATAGATGTAAAAAATTGTCATGTCAGGATTCAAACGAATCAAAGTTGATTTTGTAACCGTTTTTGTTTATATAGCATCACAGAATAAAGGGATAATTTACAACATTACGTAAAATAATAATGATCGCAGCAATCAATCAAGGTTTGGCTTACATTCATTATTGATGACTACTGGATACAGTTTCCTCAAGCATAGTAAGATAATAAAAATCATACATGAATTTGTATGAACATTACATTATACTTAGATGCACTTAGTGTATTAAACACTAAAAATTTATTAATTTAAAATCGCCAGTATTGAACTCAACTTCGCATTATATATACCTAATATAAAACAAGAACACAACAAATTTTCTGGCATACATGATACATTTTAACATGTAAGATTGTATGTCAATTGATTTTTTTCAGTTTTGAGTTTTTTCATTTTCTTCTCATTCAGTTAATCATCTCCCTACCTTTTTCCCCATAGCTTCTATAGAATTTTTCATCATTGTCTTATCTCCTGAGATAAGTAAAACAGCAAAGTCAATAGTATTGATAGTTGTTATATACTTATACTTTTTTGTTTAACTGGGAGTGCATATCTTGTTTGCAAAACAAATTTTCATTATACACGATATTGTAATTTCTCTTACAGACAGTGATGTGACTTAAGATATTTCCATGTAGCATGTGTGAAGGGAGGAAGAAAGGATGGTGATTACAGAATAGATTCCAATTTATCCACTCTTGAAAAGAAGAATCGCTACTTGACCCAGATAAAAATAGATAAAATGTCTTGTTTCATGTGTCACATAGCTTCCAAAATTACGACCTACGATGCAATGCCACGTTGGATTATATTTTTTATCGAACTCTTTTTTAATAAAGGCTGCAATATCCTGAAACAAAAAATTAAATCAATTTATTAACAATTTTCTTTTATCTTTGAAACTGTTATTTCTTTCATTTTGCTCATTATTATATTTAAACAAGCTTTTTATATCTCACTTCAAATATGTATATAATTTTTCATCACATATACAATATCTAGAACAAAATTTTAATTTAACTTTCAAACATACCTTTTCTATGTTATATTTTTCAAGGGCTTGAGTTGCACAGTCAACAGCATCCTGCTGCATCTCCTCAGACATATCAGCATTCTTAATCACAGCCTTTCTGTCTGACATTTTCGTAGCTCTGAAATTACCAAGAAAAAAGGAATTTTTCGTATGTCTTACTATACTTCATTCAAAAAAAATGTAAAAAGCTAATATTGCGAAAAGACAACTATGTATTTTTTTTTTATATCGAAGAATGAAATAAGCTATCGCGTATTGAAAAACTACAGATTAAACCTGGAAAAATGAATGCGCGCAATTTTGACAGTAGCATATATATCATTTGCTAGCATGACAAATCATAGAATTGATGCTATAAAATCAAGAAAAGAATCAGATATGTTTAATAAGCGTAATACAATTGTGGAAAACAGAGCTATAAAGACGAAACGCGGGAGGATAATGTTTTATCAATATATGATGATGAGAATAATAATTCGTACACACGCAAACACCGCAATCAGGGCATTAAGTTAAAGATATTCATTTGAGAATTATCAACATGCCAAAGAGAATAGGATTATCAGAAATCCAAAACTGATTTTGACATAAGAGTTGGTTACGCGGTCAAAAATGAAAAAATACATTTTTATTTATATAACACGCGATATACCTTTATAAAATAACACTTTCACCAACTAATACACAAGGAAAAAGATCGTTATATCCTGGCCCGGAAGTTATGTATACTTATTTTTTTCTATGTGAATTGATTTACACAAAAATTTTGCTCGCTCAAGCCGACAGCGACTATTCCTTGATTGAGTTCAAGACTGAAGTGTCCGTACTGTGATCCTGTCCACTGATTGGCCCACGATTAGGGTCTTCTATCACGGTCTTCTATCAACCCAGAATGCTTTGCTGGTAGCAACCCGCGTAAACATAAATTCGAGTAATCGATACGGAATTTTTCCTTGAAATTCAAGTCACAACGATGTTTTTTATTTTTCATATTTTTCATTCATGCTTAAACTTTCATTTATATAATATTTCTTTTATATAAAATCTCAAAAAATTAATGATATACATTAAAATATGCTTTAAGAGAAGTTTAGATTGATTATATACATTGAGGTATTTTAAGCTTTCAAAATTTATTTTGAAATATTGACAGAAACATATATAGTTTGCAAAAATCTATGTTTTCCTAAAACTAAATTATAAATTGTAAATTCATATCAATAATGTATTTGTAAATCAAAAATACATATATATTTGATATATTCTATTGATTATATGTAAATTGAAAATGTGAGGAATTTTTATAAATTTTAAATAATATTCTAATAATTTAATTTAATAAAATAGAATAAAATATTTTAATTCAAATTATTTCTTCAAAATTGAACAATTAATTGTATTACAAGATGGCGCTATAACAAAATAAATTGAATCATTATTTTACAAGATGGCGCTATCAAAGTCTTAGACTATGAATATAAGTAAAACTAAAATATATATGATCTAAGCATAAAATTGATGCATTCGTTGCTATATCACTTTGCATGTATATAAATATTTTTATTTCTTCGTAATTAGTATAACATATATATTGTATATGTATATGTTCAATCAGCTGATTGTGACAACAGTAGCGTAGCTATATTGTAAGAATTTTTTTTAAATTTCAAATTTTTTCCATTACTATATTCGAAGAAATATTTATAAACATTATTAAACAATATTTAGTGTAAATATATATTAATTTTTCAATGATATATATATATTCTTTTTTAATATATTTAAAATGACTTTAAATATCACTTAATATCACTTAAATATCATTTGTATATAAAGTATAGATATGTTGACCCAAGTTACACATGCGCAATAAATTCCAATAATCTCGGAGAATTCTTTATTAGAGAGGTTTTCATTCTAAATGTATCAGTGTTATATTCGACAGAGTTGCGCAGAATATTTCTGAAAGAAAGAAATTTTTTTTCTAGTACTATATTCAATACATAACTTAATCTTTTAATTTTAAAGGCACTGGAAATTTATTTAAAAATGTTTCGTGCCATTCTATGTCTTTGCGCTTTTATAGCGATAGCCAATGCTGATATTACGAGGTAAATATAATGAAAAAAATATTATTATTCGCTTTTCTACAATTATTGTTTTAAAAAAAAAATTATTAATTATATAAATAATTAGTTCGATAAGATTTGCAAAGTATACTTTAAAATAGACTTTATAATTTTTTTTTAAGAATTCCCTTGCACAAAATCGATAGCATTAGGAAACAATTCAAAGAATACAACACAGAAATATATCAAACACATATATTGCAAGGAGATTTTCCTCAACCAGAACCTCTTTCAAACTATTTAGATGCTCAATACTATGGTGTTATTAGCATTGGAACTCCTCCACAAGATTTTAGAGTAATCTTTGATACTGGTTCCTCAAATCTCTGGGTTCCTTCTAAAAAATGTCATCTTACCAATATTGCTTGCAGTAAGTATATTTTTAAAAGTTATTAACTTTATCATTTTTTCTATTTTATATTTTACTTTGTTCATAATTTTATTTATTTTTTATAATTCATATAATATGATAAGTTTTAATTTAAAGCTACAATATAAGTATATTAAATATATAAAATATAAAATATAATCTATAAAAACCAAACTTTTGATTTAAAATCTCATAGAAAAATAAAAGAATAAAAAATAGAATCTTTTTGATAATTATATTAATTTATAATATTAATAAGATAAATATAATGATTTACATTATATAACATTATGATTTAATCTATTAATTTATATTTAAATAAATTTATCTTCTAAATAATGATAATATTACATGTTATCAAGTGTTTATAAATTAATAACAAAAAAGTTCTTTATTTAATTAAAATTTCATAATTTTTTTTTTGTATATGCATTATTTTCAGAATTACATCGTAAATATGATAATACCAAATCATCCACATACAAGAAGAATGGCACTGACTTTGCAATCCGTTATGGCTCTGGAAGTCTTTCTGGCTATCTCTCCACTGATACTGTAGATGTAAATACATGCATATTTTTTCTTTTTATAACTATTGATATTATTTTTATTTTTTATTAATATTATATAATTATATTATTATTTATAATTTTTATTTCTATAATTTATAATCTTTTTGTTTCTGTATCTTTAAATAATAATAGTATTTTTTAAAAATTATTTTTAAAAAATTTTTAAGGAATAATTCACTTATATGTAATAACATATAATAACATTATAATATATTATGAAATTATATTCTAAGAATTTTAAAAAATTATATTCTATTTCTATATTTCTATTTTTTAATTGAATATGATTTAATAATTTAATAAAAAAAGAAAATTAATTAAAGAATAATAAATTTTACAGATTGCAGGAATGAAAATTTCTGATCAGACTTTTGCTGAAGCTTTGAGTGAACCTGGATTAGCTTTTGTTGCTGCTAAATTTGATGGTATCTTGGGAATGGCTTATTCTAAAATTGCTGTTGATGATGTAACACCTGTCTTTTACAACATGGTTAAACAAGGATTAGTACCTCAACCTGTTTTCAGTTTTTATTTAAATAGGTATTTTAAAAGTTATTTAAAATTTTTATGAAACAAAATAAGTTAATAATTTATAAATTCTATTAATTTATCAATTGAAGAAATCCTGATGATAAATATGGTGGAGAATTAATATTGGGTGGTTCAGATCCAAACCACTATGAAGGTTCTTTCACTTATGTTCCTGTGGATAAAAAGGGATATTGGCAATTTAAAATGGATAGGTATTTATTAAATGAAAATTTATTATAAAAAATTTATATTATGAAAAATAATTTTTTCATAAATTAAAAAAAATTAATATTTTTGAATTTTAGTATTCAAATTGGGTCAGATTTAAAAGTTTGTCAACAAGGATGTGAAGCTATTGCAGATACAGGTACTTCTCTTATTGCTGGACCAGTTAAAGAAGTTGGTGCCATCAACAAAGCAATTGGAGCTACTCCCATTGCAGCAGGAGAAGCAATGATAGACTGTAACTCCATTCCTAATTTGCCTACAATTAACTTTGTACTTGGTGGTAAATCTTTCTCTTTGAAAGGCGAGGACTATGTGTTGAAGGCAAGATAAATATATTTTGATTTTATTCTACAGTTCATTAAGATTGTGATAAATTTTAATTTTAATATAATAAAATAATATTGTTCTTTTTTTTCTATTAAAGGTTACACAATTTAGAAAGACCGTTTGTCTTAGTGGATTTATGGGAATGGACATTCCTCCACCAAATGGTCCACTATGGATTTTGGGAGATGTTTTCATTGGTCGTTATTATACTGAATTTGATATGGGAAATAATCGTGTTGGTTTTGCTAAGGCAAAATAGATATTTAAAAATATGCTAATTGAAACCTTAAATTTTAAATTATATAATTTTTGTTAATATATCTATTTTTGCATTTTTATGCTTGCAATTTTATGTTTTTACATTTAATTGTTTTTTCATTAATATTTTTTCTGTTTTTTGTATATATAATACATTATATATATATATATATAATATGTATAATAGCTTTATTAATGAAAATAAATGTAATAGATACTATAAGCAATATATAAATATAAAATATATAAATTAGTCATCTATAACAAAATATATATTATATTACAAAAATAAAAGTAATAAATTTTTTTCATGTCATATCCTGTGTTATTATTTCATAAATAATTGATCAATAATTCACTTTTTAATGATATGAAACATCATGATTAAAATTTAAATACGAAACTACAAGTCATCATAAATTATAATAATTTACATAGAATATCACATAATATTATAAAATAAAATAATTTCTCAAATGTATTAATATCACGTGAAGTATAAAACAAATCTATAAATAGAATATATTATTTATTTTTGTTCCTTTTTTTTTACTGCATGAATTGCATAATTTATTGCTGTTGAAGCCATCCAAGACCATTCGTTTTTTAGAACATTATAAAACATTCCATGAATCAATTTTGTCTTGCAACCATCTAGAAAAGGATTATCAATTCATTTAGGAGAAATTCTAATATAAAATTATAATATATAATATATATAACTATATAAAAGTTCTATATAATTATTTATAAAAAAAATAGAATATAATATAATAGAAAATACATGTTTCTAATAAAGATTGCATTTCTGTAGGAGTGACAAATTTATTCCAATCATGAGTACCCTTTGGTACCACTTTTAAAATACGTTCAGCTGCAATTATTCCTCCAAGCCATGAAGGTAAAGTTTTATTAATAGTTGTAAGAAATATTGAACCACCAGGTTTTAAAGAACTTATGCAACACTATAAAAAATAAATATATGGCTTTTTTCATATTAATCTCTTTCTTTTTTAATATAAAATTTATATCAAAATTTATGTAAAATATGACTATACCTTTAGAAATAATTCTTTATTATTTACATGTTCTATAACTTCTGAAGCCACTACAGCATTATATATTTCTTTATTATTTAGAGCAAAATCTTCAATTATCGTTTGAAAATAATTCAATTTTCCATCTAAACTAGCATCTAAAACAGCATGCTGTTTTGCAGCTGTTATTAACTCTGATGAAGCATCAATTCCAGTTACATCTGCTCCTATTCTGGCTAAAGATTCTGATAGTAATCCTCCACCACAACCAACATCTAGAATTTTGATTCCTTCTAATGGTAAATAAGGACATTCTATTTTGACTCCTATATTTGCTAAGCCATCTCGAATAAGTTGTATTCTAAGAGGATTCAATGCATGCAACGGACGTATTTCACCATTAACATCCCACCACTTATTGTGTAATTTAGAAAAATGATCTATATCTGTAAGATCAACTGTTGATTTCTTTATTAAACTAGATTTTGTTAATTGATCAGTTTGTTCGGTCAATCTAAAATTGCAAATTAGAAATTTTTTTTGATAGCTATGTATCTTAATAAACATTATTTATATTAATTATATTATATTACATATATTTGTGTCAAATATTTAAAATTGATATATAGGTTATATACCGATTTCGAAGGGTAGATCCTGTGGATATGGATCGAAAGGGTCGAATTTTAATGATATTCATAATTTATTTATATAAAATGATTAAATGTAATTAAAAATTTAGAAAATATGCAGAATTTTTGAAGATATGTAGAAACAAATGAGACAACAGTCAACATTCGACAAAAGCACGAATGATTATGTTTGCAATTGCGACAGTAGCATTAACTATTGTATATAATTATTTGTACAAAAAGTAAGGATTTTAAGTAAAATATCTGAAAAAATTTCACGAATATTTTATTTTAGAAATAAATAATTAAAAAAATGAAAGAAATTTAATATAAAAATTAAAAATAATTTTGATATTGAAAATATTTCCATTATATTTATATTTAAAGAATAAAGTAAATTTACAGAATATATATATATCTAAAATATCATTATTCATATATCATTAATTTAGAAAATAATCTTAATAAAATTTTGATTTCATCTAATAAATATTTGTAAATCAAATAATTAATTTTAGTTAATATATATTTCTTTATATATATATATATATATTTAATAAATTTAATAATTAATATTTTTTAATGAATATTAAGTAAAAAAATTATTTGATATCAATGTGAAGTATCTATCTTACGATAAATAAGTACTTCATAAAGAAAAAATGAAAACTTGTGAACGTAACCTTCATATACATGATAAATAGATATTAAAATACATTTCATTTTTTAAAATAAATTCCATAATCTTGATTATATTATAAATTAATTAATTAAAGAGATTATAAAATCATTAATTGATAAGATTATAATCTTAATTAACACTATTTTGAACGTATTAGCTAATTAAAAGATTATCAATTGATTAATTAACAAAAATAAAATAAAAGATAAGTATATTGATTAAATATCTTATCGAATTATTAAAAAATATTTTATAATTATTTCATCATGATATTTCTTATCTAATATTATCTAGTAATTTTATAATCGAATGCATATAATAATTTGAATTTAGATTAATATTTTTTTATATATATATAATTGCAAATATTTAATTAATTAATTAAAAATTGAAAAATACTTTTTAATAATAATAATATATAATACAATATAATAATAATAATAATATAAATTAAATAACAAAATATTTCATAAAAATCTATATCCATTAATATAATTTTATTGAATTATAAATATTGTTTATTTTTATACCAAATTTTATTATGAAATTATAAAAATTTTTATTTTTCTAAATAATTCATTCATCAATAAGAATATTACAGTGAATTATAAATAGATAGTACAATATAACAATAAAAATATAAAAGTACAACAAGCAAATATGTAAATACATTATAAAGTACATACAAGTTCTTTCCATGAAAAATCATCAAAACATTCCATTAAATTTATTATATTTTTATCTTCAACTAGATTAAATAATTTTTTAAAAGCTGAAAACTGAGATAAAGTTCTTTTGTCCGCAATAATAATTAATTTACATTTTGCTCTCGTTATTGCTACTGTTAATCTTCGACAATCTCCTAATACTTCAATATCCTAGATTTAAAAAAAAAATTACTTCGAATACTTTTAATTTATATAATTTTAATGTCAAATTTAAATATATTACCTCTTCTATGTCTTTATTATTAAGTAAACTTTTTGCACAAGAATAAATTATAATCTGTTTATCTCTCCCTTGATATTGATCAACAGTATTTATTTCTATATCTTTAATAATTATTTTTTTTAATAAATTAACATGAGCCCTATATGGTGCAATAATACCAATTTCATCAAGTTCAATTTGCATCTGAATATTTAAATATCACATCATATTTAAATATTTAATATAAAAAAATAAAATTATGAAAAATATTATTAAATATCACCTTTAAAAGAGTTTGCACTAATTTCAATACTATAATGGCTTCCCAAATGTTTGAATTGACTTGATCACTTTCTGAATATTTAGCATTAATATCACAGCTTACTTTTAATTTACTGGTACATCCTGTGTTTATTATAATTACAGAATCATTTATATTTGATGATAATACTTTTTGTATCCATTTTTGTTCTTTCATTAATATCTGAAATATAATTCTATTATTTTATATCAATAGAATAATAAAGCATATTTTATTTACATTCATATTTTTATGTGGTGAAACAAAAGTGGCATTTTCTATTGATGTATTTCCTGCTTCTAACATATCATTATATGTTAATTTGTTTGCTAAGAACATTATATTTTTATTCATTCTATATTGTTTTGTCAAGTTAACAGTATTATTTTCACTATCAAGTCGAGCAAATAAAGATTCATCTGCACCTAGTTTTCTATAAAAAATAATTTAATAATTATAAATTAATATAATAATTTACATAAATAAATTTTTATATAAAAAATTAATTTAATATATTATTTATATTAATTAATATAATATTATCTATTAATCTATTTTAAAAAGTTCTATTATGCACCTAGCCAATTTGCTTTTAATAATAGGTGGTAATTGATCAGGATCTCCTACGAGAACAAATTTTTTTGCACTATATAATGGTCGTAATATAGATGGCTGCAATGCTTGAGCACTTTCATCCACAAGGCATATATCAAATATACGTCTTCCAAGAAGTACATGATGAGCACCATAACATGTTACTCCAATGATATTCTATATATTATAAAAATAATAAAATAAAATTAATTATAATAAAAATTATCAATTTATATATTTCTAACATTATAAGAAAAAAAATTTTTTTGTAAGTAATATTAGAATATTAAATGACTTTCTTAATTTGCATAATTAATCAATAATTTTATTAATTTTATTATAGTAAATATATTAAAATATTTCATACTTTGCTTGTATATATCGCTTCCAAGCTTTCTGGCGAATGGCAATTTGATGTAACATATTCTTCACTTTTATATTTTAAGGATGGATGAACAGATGAACCCAATCGCAAAAAATCAATATCCTTATTTAATAATTTTAATAAAATATTGTCAACAGCACTATTTGTATGTGCAGTAATTAAAATAGAATATCCTATTTTGTGCAATATTTCTATCAATGCTACTAGTGTCTGAGTTTTTCCTGTGCCAGGCATTCCTTTGATTAAAAAATAATCATTTGCAGATATCGCTTTTAAAACAGCTCTTTGCTGATTTTTATTTAAATCTTGTAATTCTTTGGCACTTTTATGTATAACAAAATGTGATAATTCTTTTTCAAATGTAGCTGGTTTTCTAATATAAAAAAAATTTAATATAAAAATAAATTAACAAAAATTTATTAAAATAGTTAATAAATTTTGCAAACCTATCTATCACAATATTACGTAATTTTTCGCAAATTTCATTATCACCCATTAAACCTCCTACATTCGCAAAATTAAAAGAAAATAAACTAGAAGACGAGTATTTATCTATGTGGAAAAATTCATTTATATTATATTTGGTAATATCTCTGAAATAAAAAATTAAAAGATGATAACTATACTATAAAAAAAAGATAAGAAATAAAATAAAATATATTCTCCTTTTATACCTATCTAATAATATTGTGATAGAATCTTCTTTTCTTTGTGCTATAAATCCAGTGGATATATTTATCCTTGTATTTGTACTGATTAAAACATATTCATTTTCTGAAAATATCATATAAGGAATATTAGTATTTGAAAATTGTTCTTTTACATTTGCACGAATGAAAGTATGCTTGTACTTTGAGTTGTATTCAATAACTTTTCCAATTATTTTTAAATTACAGATGCAGATTTTCTTTGCTTCTCTAAAAAATGAAACAATTTATTTAATTGAAATGAAACATTTTTATAAAAATTTTAATAGAATTATTATAGAATTATTTTACCTCTTTTCTGGACTTAGTGTCCACATATATCTTATTATATTTTCACTAGATTGTGCATTTTCTTCTATTTGCAATAATGAAACCCACTGTGAAATATAATCAATATGGCTAGGCTTAAATTTACTTAAAATTTGTTTTCCAAGCCTAATCAATGGATGTGAGTCTGATAACTGTATATTAGTATCTTTGTTCAAATACATACAACACAATACATTATATGTGCATTTTGAACAAGCACTATGATGATTAATTGGTTCTGGTAAATCCAATGTTTGCCAATCTGATTCAAGAGTTAAATTTGATTTTTCTACTAGTTTTGGTATGAAATAATTAGCCAAACTGTTTCGTAATAATATCAAATCTCTTTTTTCAGGATGTTTACTATTAATCTCTTGCATAACATTTTCTCTGTAATAAAAATTATTAATATAATAAATATTTAATGAATAAATATTTTAAAATATTTTGAGAATAAAATATAAATAATAAAACACCTGAGATATAGTAAAAGACCAGTATCAGTATCTTGACGAGTAAGAGTCATCATTATAATATATAAAATAATCTGACCTTTATGTTCTAAAGAAAATGAAGGTTTTCCTGTCTTAATTTCAAGAGGCATAATTTTCCTTTTTGAATTTATTTTTACTTCTACAGTAACATCTATCTTGCCTTTTAAACCTAACATAGGAAGCCAGATATTTTCTTCTATATCACAAACGTTAGTAATTTTTCCTTTGAAATTATCTTGTATATTATTTATTTTTTGTTGCTTTTTATCTGCAAATATAATTATCTTTAATATAATAAAAGATAAACATGTTATAATAAATGTTATAAAAAATATAATAAATATAATAAATATAATAAAAATTAATTATATTAGTTTATACACCTTTAACATAATGTTGTAAAAATTCATATATTTTTGATACAAATGTGAGTATCTGTTCTCGACATGCATTAAACGAGATTTGTGATGCATAAAGTAAATTACTTGTATCCTTTGACTGCAATAAACTGTCCATTAATTTTGTGATATCTGATAATTCATAAATATTTTTTTGTATTGCCTATAATATTAATCAATTAATATATAAATTAAATAATTATTTAAAAAATAATAAAAATAATAAAAATAATAAAAAGAAAGAAAAAATCAAAAAAAGAAATTTTATAATATTTTTGTAATACTTTTTGTAATAATTGATGAACTAAGCTCCCAATAATAATTGATGATTGATCTGCTTTAAAGTAAGGTAAATTTTCTATTTTTTTAAATTTTTCAGCTAAAATTGCTTTTCTTTTACAAAATAAAGCACCAACTACTGTTGTTCCAGATATTAATATATCTGGATGAATAATAAGAAAACCATTATTGTTATCAATAATCCACTGTTTATTTTCTTTTCTTGCTTGAATGATAACAATATCATCTTTTTGTATCTTAACATCTTTCCTATTTCAATGAAAGATAACATATTAAATTTTCTTGTTATTAATCATAATATTCTAACTGTATTTCTTACCAAAATCCTAAACATATAATAGTTGTATTACATGTTGTATAATCATTATCTTGTTTTACAATTAATAATGTGTTGTTATACTCTCTTTTTACATCAACAATTTTACATCTCTGTAAAGAATTAAAATTTATTTGACTATCTATGGGCCATTCTTCTTCAAAACAATCATTAAAATCTTCTATAAAAAATGATTCTATTTCTGACTGAATTTCTTTATGTTCTTTTATAGCAGTAGTATTTTTTCCATAAAATTCTTTTGAAGAAAAGCTTACATCAGAAGTGGTATTACATAATATATCATTGTTTATTATTATCTTTTCTTCATTTAAATTACATATTGCATTTGTGTGTTTATTAATTTCTATATTTTCTTTAAATTCAATTATAGATGCATCTTTATATTTAGTTTTAATTATATTTGTGTTAATATTATCTGTATTAAATACATTATGAATGACATTTGACTTTGTAAGTAAACGATTTTGCCTTTGTATATTTCGCACATTATATACATCAGAAGCATCATCATAATATTTTGCAATTTTTGTTTCTGATGAATCTAAAACTTCTGATATTTTTCTTTTTTTTTGTATTTCATCATTCGTAATAGCCGTTTCAACTATATTATTTATCGAATTATTACTTTTAAATTTTTCATTTTTGCAAGTCTTCATAAAATACATTGATATTTTCCGTTGAGATTGCTTTGCATTATGAGTTGAATTGTTCTATAAAAAAATATAAAATAAATAAAACAACGATGTTCATTAATTTAGTTTTAAAAGAAATATTGAATAAATTATGTTTATTATTTCATTATTTTTGTTAATTATTATATATTACCTGGGTCGAAAGATCGATTTTCTTCATTCTTCATTAAATATTATTTTTAATTTTTTATTTTTTTGTATAAAATATCAGACGATTTTTTAATCAATTCGCGCACAATTTTTTCTATATTCATATAATTATAAGAAAGGAAATAAAAACAGGTTTTATAGAAATTACGGAAAGATCATATAGGGAATTTATTCAAAGTTATGAATTTTTAGGATTTTTTTTATATTTTTACAATAAGATAAATATATAAATTCATATTTTTCTTTTATATAAATAATTCAAATTATATATAATTTAAGTCTAATTAAAATTGAATCATATGCTAATATAGTTGATTATATGATATTTACGATAATATATTTTTTTGATTTTAAATGAATAAGCATTTATATAAATTAATAAATCAAATGAATTGATTCATATTAATATTATCATATTATTAATATTTTATTTAAATCCTTTTTAATTAAAAATAATTGGAATTTGACGCAGTGATATTTTTATCCTTTAAACGGATTGGCTAAAAATTTAGTATGACATGTAATTAGCATAAATTCCTAAAAATTAAATCAGTAATCTTTTTAGTATCAAAATTTCTAAAAGAATTAAAAAAATTTTAATTTTCTAAAATTAAGTTCAATATACTATAGTTCATTAAATATTATATTTACATATATACAATTCAATATTGTATTCATATATATATAATTCAACACAATTTTATATATATATATATATATACACACACATATTTATGTAATATTTATACAATCATTGATTAATATATGATTAATTTTGCAACAATATCAAGATTTTTTATTTTTCACTAAGATATTTATTTTTTATTAATTATTGCTTCATAAAATTATTACAAATTTAAAACTTGTATTACTTTCCTTTAAAGTTTATAGTTTAAAAATTAAAAACTTATTAAAAACTTTATAGTTTAAAAATAGATATTTTAAAGTATATCAATAATATTTTCTAAAATTCTTTACATGATGTAAACATATTTAGAAAACTATAGTGTATCATTCACTGAATTGAAAATATAAAAAAGTATATCATTGCAGAATTAATATTGTTTATAATTATGATTTGGTTGACTCCTACATATTATTGAAATACGTCTATCTTTTAATATATATTGTCCTTTAAAAAAGGATTCTTTATTTTTTAAAATTTCATGTGTATAATTATATCTAGCAATGCCACTGTAAATATAAATATAAAATATAAATAATAAAATATATATTGTTACAAACATACAAACATTATTTTTACCTCATTATGTATAAGGATCTTCTTGATAATAAAAAATCTTTGTATAATAATTCATTATCAACCATTTTTAATCTCATTACACTATCTGTTAACAAACTTAAACCAGCAATAATTTCTCCACAGAACTATAAAAAAAATCATTTCACTTAAAAATTAATTATTAAACTTTTATAATATTAAAAATAAAATACATACTTTTATACTATCAACATGTGGTTTTATCCATCCTTCAGATGCTAAATCTAAAATGTGTATTAATGGAATATGAGATATTTCTTTGGCAAATGCTTTTTTCCGAATTCTATCTATTATTTTTATATTTTTTTCATTCCATTTACTTTTTTCCGTCTCTCTATAATTATGTATTGCCTATAATGATCAATTAAAATAAATATATTTATAATTTATGTAAAATAATTATCATTATACTAACATCATCCCAATGCGATTGTTCATATCGTAATCTTTTTATATAAGAATCAATTTCTTCAGTTAAAGATATTTCTTCTTCAACTGTTATAAAATTTGGGAAAATTTGCATCGTCTTATCAAGTTGGTCTTTCCAATTATTCGAATTGATATTTAATTTATTAAATAAAATTTTTGATTGCGAATAGCATTTTATATTAATGCAATTGAAAGTTCGATTTACGATATAAATTAGAAAATTCAATTTAATTTTCATTCTTTATTCAATTTTTTGATTAGGTTAAGAACAAAAGATGATAAAAATTTCGATTTATCCAAAATCTAAAATAATCGAATATCATTTAATATGTGTCATTTATATTTAAAGATACATATATTACAAAATAAATACAATTTTTTCATTTCGCAGAAAAATAATTTTCAAATTATATCATTAAAGATTAGGATTATCAAATATAATACTGACACAATTAGATAATTATTTTTTTATTCATAAAAAATAGAAAATAATTATTAATATTTAATTAATATAATATAAAATTTGAAAAAATTATAATATAAAAAAAGAATTTTAGCATTTCAATTTTATTCAGCAACTTCACTTTTATTTTTCACCAAGCTTAATATATTTTAAGGTTAGAAATCTGGTACGAATGTTAATATATAGAAGTAATAGCATTATATTATGATTTCAATGAAAATTAGAGATGTGCTAGCTACGACTGCTTCGATTTGCACAGTTTTGCAATTCCTAGCTGGCGTGTAAGTAAAAATGTGAAACTGAAATCTGATTTTCTTTTATTTGAGAAATTGTTAAGAATTTTTATATATTTTGTTAATATAAATATATTATATAATAAATTTTTAAAGCATTTAATCACATATTTTTCTAAAATATAAAAATTTTTTAGATTTTGACAAAACATTTGTCTTGTCAAAAATAAATATTAAAAAATTTTTAGTATTCATTATATTTAGGCAAAAATATATTGTATCTAATATGTGAATTGAAAGACAAAGAAATATATTTTAGGCTGGTATGCAGAAAAATTATTAAAAATGGCAGCACAGGAAATAGTTCAGCTTTGGCATTTGTAACATGTTATACATCGTAAGTGTTATATTTTTAATAATAAAAATTATTTATTATTAAAAATTGTTTTATTATAATAATTATTTCTTTATTCTTTATATTTCTTGTTACATTTCATTTAATTTATGTTTTAATGTTTTTTAAATATTCACTAAGAATTTAATTAGAATCAAGTTTTTATACAATATATGAGTTTTTGTATAAATAAATATATGTTACAGATGTGTTTTATGGATGAGATATGGTATGCTTATTGAAGATCAATTTATATTGTTAGTGAATATTTTTGGCATAATACTTCAAGCATCTTATCTTTATGTGTTCATTTTATATAGTGTAAAAAAGTTTAAAATAATAAGACAAATAATTGCAGCTACATGTTTTCTTGGAACTGTATATTTTTATAGTTTTTATGAACAAGATAAAATATTAGCTGCAAAATATGTTGGTTTTCTTAGTTGTACAATAACAGTATTATTTTTTGCATCTCCGTTAATGATGCTGGTAAGTCCTCTTAACTTTTTCAATTTATAATGAAATGAAAATCATTTGTTTAAAGAAGAAATGATGGAACAAAATATTTTTTTTTAGGCACATGTAATAAAAGTTAAAAGTACTGAAACTTTACCTTTTCCTATTATCATGGCTTCTTTTATAGTTTCTTCTCAATGGTTTGTGTATGGTTGCCTTCTTAATGATCCTTTCATACAAATACCAAATTTTTTAGGTTGCATATTATCTGCATTTCAACTTTGTTTCTTTTTGATTTATCGTAATGATCATTTTAATAATGCTTATTTAATATAATATTGAAATATATTTTATGAATTATAATTAATATGTTTTAGAAAAAAAAAATATATTTTTTAATGTATTGATATTTATAACTTAAATGTATAATTTAAATGTATTCTTAAGAAGAAATATATTTCTTGAACAATTAATGAGTCATTTTCAATCAAGAATATATATATTTTAAAAGTTATATTTTCCCGCCAAAAATAGTTATTTTAATATAATTTCTTAGCTAATTTAGTTAACATTATAAAATTCCCTAGATAAGAAAATAAAAATTAAAAAATACAATTTATAAGAACATAATAACAACATTAAATATTATACATATATAAATTAATTATCAAAAATATTTTTCGTAAAAAAAATCTATTTTTTTATTCAATCTGATATTTCATTAATGAATATGTTTAATAATATCGATATAATCTAATTTTATAATTTTAAACTTTTAATAACTTTATTAAGTTATTTTCTTATTCTATCGTTTTAAATATATAAAAAAAAAATATTTTTATAGAATCTTAAGATCATATAAGTAATTCATTTGAACTTAGTATTAATTGTATATATCTTTTAAATGTATATGAAAAAATATTGTTTAATCAATAAACACCGTTATTTTTATTTAAAAAAATTTTATTTGCGTTAATATACTAAAATCAAACAAAATATATATCTTTTTTTATAAGTATTATTTTATAAACGGAAATTGAGTGGAATTTTCCAGACATATTGGAAAGTCTGTAGTTCCGGAACGAACCGGTTGGTAGCTCTGGTAGCTATGCAAGAGGAGAGAAAGAGGTGCGGTGTTGCGTGACTGATTGCGAGGCCGAGCGTGTGTGTTTGTTGTGTTGTACGAAATTTTTATTCTCTTTTTGGAAAAAAGAAACGTTCGCTTTTTTTCGGAAAGACCGTTTTGAAGAGAAAATTATGTCGTCATATATCCAAGTTGCCGAAGATGAAGGCGATGAACCGATCGAATTGCCAACGGAAGACGATAGTACACTTTTATTGACTACCGTAACCGCCCAGTTTCCCGGAACGTGTGGCCTGAAATATCGCAATCCAGAATCTCGGACGATGCGCGGCATTCGTCTTGTTGACGGACGTCTTCATCCGCCCGAAAATGGATGGGGCAAGGCAATTTACTTTTGTGTTTTTCCAAAAGGTGCTTATTTCACTGCATAAATCATAATCTTTTTCTCTTATCCCCTCTTCTTTCTCGAAAATATACTAACATCATGATACAAGATCAAGTATACAATGTTTTTCGTATATTAATTGACATAAATTTTAAAGTATTTCGAGATTTAAAATGTCAATCGATATAAGTTTTCAATTTGTTATAATTTTGTTTTTTTTTTTATTTATTATTATTATTTATTACTGTGTGTTCAATATTTTATTTTTACAATTATCTAATACATCGCGGAAAATATTTTGTTGATTATTTATAAATTTTATCAATATTTGATCTTTAATAATTTCTATGAATTTCACCATAACTGTTATATATAGATTTTTTTTTGAATACATGTGTTTGTGTTTATGTATTATTTTCGAATCGATTTTTTGTCCTAATTTTCTTTTTAATAATTAATTTTTCGTTTCTTTTTTTTTTTTCAAAAAAAATGTAAGAAATTTTGCATGATTTTCCTATTAAATAATTATATTTAACATCAAATATAAAAAAATATTTATAATTTATTCTCTAAATTTTGATTATTTATTGTTTCAATGATATTAACATAAACACATGTTAATGTTCAAATAAATTAATTAACATTTACAGATTTGAATTATAAATAAGATTATATTGAAATATTTTTAACTTGCAATTTTAATAATATTTATAAATATATACCTATTTATAATTATAATTTGTTTACATCTATGCAAGTTTATATATATATATATATATATATATATATATGTATATATAGTATAGATAGTATAGTACATAGATGTAAACTCAAATGCTTCACTAAAATATAACAATATAATATCTATATTGCACACACACGCACACACAGAGCCTCACATATACACAATGTAACATAATTTTTATTATATTTTTTGAAAAATAATTATTGTATCTTATACTATATATTTTCTTACTTCTATTTATTATTATTATTATTATTTTTACATTTATTTTTATCTCTTTTCATAAATTATATATAGATATAAAATTTTGCAATAAGATTGAAATTTTTTTAAAAAGAGGTTCTAGTAAAATGAAAAAAAAGTTAGTAGACATGAACACTTATATCTTTTCAGAGAACAAACGTAAATCTGATGACAATTTGGAAAATTCCACAGCTAAGACTAAAAGAATGGAAACAAAGTTGCGTTGCACAGACTTGATCGTACTTGGTTTACCATGGAAAACAACCGAGCAGAACTTGCGAGAGTATTTTGAAACATTTGGAGAAGTACTCATGGCACAAGTAAGTTTTTTAATTTTTTTCAATTTATAAATAATATAATTTTTTTTTGTTTTCTTTCAAATATTTTTAAGGAATTTATGCAAATTAATGCAAAATAATTCATTATTGAATGTAACAAATTGATATTTTAAAACCAATCATAAAATATGTCATTACATTTTTATTTTAATTTTATTTTAAATGATTATTTTGACTATTTATAAATTGCTATATCACTAAAAATTATTAAATTATATATAATTAATTATATAAAATATATATATATATTGATATAATATAAATATTTAAATGTTTTTACAGGTTAAAAAAGATGCAAAGTCAGGACAAAGCAAAGGATTTGGCTTTATTAGATTTGGAAGTTATGAATCCCAATTAAGATGTCTTGCTCAACGACATATGATTGATGGGCGATGGTGTGATGTTAAGGTTCCCAACAGTAAGGTAAGAGCATTATTATATACATTGGCAAACATTAATTATTTCATTGTGTATCTTCAAATAGCTGTGAAATGTTCAAGTTAATACTTATTTAAGATCAAAATATATATAGAACATTTCCGTGCGAATCATAGATCTGTACTTTTATATTATTTGGTTTATTATGTAATTATAATATATTTTTGCGTAAATAATTTCGAAAATTTAATATTTTCTTTTTTTTTAATAAATACTATATAAAAGATTATAAATTGTTTCATCATTTAAAGATCTAAAAAACTAGTATATATTACAAAAAAATGTTTAAAATTATGAGAATTAAAATTATTAATTAAATGAAGAATGAACAGCATGACATTCATAATAAAAAATTGCAATGAAATGTAATAAAATCTTTCTAAAAAATTTTTCATATATATATTTTTCTTGTGTAGATCTATGATGCATGTTAAATTATTAGTTGAATTATGAACAGCTTGAATTATAAGAAAGTTAAAAGAATGATTAAAAAGTTTGACTATGCCATAGACATATATAATATATTTTGCTTTACAAATTCTTTTTTCTATTTTGAATCAGAATGACTGAGTCATATGAAACATATGACTATATAAAACATTACCTTTATTAATTTCCATTTACAATTTTTGAATGTCATCTTTTATACATCTCTTGAGAAGAAAGTATATTGTGGTATAAATAGATGAATGTGTAGTCAAATTAAATGGTATATTTATAAAGGAGATGTGATGCGTGAATGTTTATATGAGTGTTGTATGATACAATGTGAGTTAAGAAAGTAAAAGAAAGTATGCTTGCGTGCTCTTGTAAATAACATTGGTATGTTTGTGTTTTCTTTAAATAGTGTGGAAATTTTTTAAGTATGTTATGAGAGGTACCACTGTCAAATATCTTTTAAAATAGATACAAAAATTTGAAGATACATACCCAATTAATTTATATAAAACCTAAATAGATTAGTTGCAACAAGCAGGCCATTCAAATTCGATCTTTTAGTGCGAAATTTTCAAAGAATATGTATTGTGTAATTGTTAATTTGCTTCGAGCTTGCTTAAATGAAATATTATTGCATCACTGAAATGAGATTTAGAGAGATTGATTTTTTCGTTAAAACGTAATATTGTTATATGTTAATATTGAGAGTGAATTTTAAATGAAATATTCGAGCATTAATTAAATGTATAATATTCTAAAAATTATAAATATTGTAATGGGTATGGTTTGCGTGACAGTGTGTGCAATCGCAGGTTTTGATCCACATGCGGTGTGTGAAGTAACGAATTGTCATATTTCTTGAAGTGAGTATTGAATTTTTGCGAAAAGAAATATATTTCCAAGTCGTGATTAGATATCAGCAGACTATGATATAGAATTTTTCAATATGATATCTTCTGCAATCGAATTAATGAATAGTTGTAAAAAAATAATAACAATATATACAAATAGACTGTAGTAGATGAATGAAAGACGCGTGCTTAAAGTCGTATCGCTTTTATTTAAAGATTTTCTACTAGCGCGTGTTACGTGATAGGTTCGAAATTTTATAATTGGTATGTGGTATGACATGTTAAAAAAAAATCAAAAAACAATAAAAAAAAAAAAGAAAAAGTATGTTAATAGCACGATTAATGAGTGAGAGTGCGTATATGTGTATGATTCAACCAATTATAATAAGATAAAAATCGTATGTGATTGTCGAGGCCTGGTGTATCTGGTTGCAGAATATTGATGGCTTAATGATGGCTCGTCAGTATGATACGAGCAAACACAATGAATGCTACCGTCCTATACCGGTTCATACGCCGAGTAATCGACGGGTACCTGTGGCGAAACCTTATATCAACTTAAATACATCTGAAGCTGCTAATACACCTAGATATGATTCGGAGTATGATTATAAAACCACGCATTATCCGTCGTACCCTCCCAATTATCCGTACGACGATAACAATAAATACAAGTATGAGAGCCAAAACTATAATACATATGAGAAACCTAGTTACCCATCTTACGAGGATCCTGGGTATGACACACGTAATTATATGGTTCAACATACAACTGCAGCACCGCCAAATCCCAGCGCTACCTATCCGTCCGACACAGAATACACAAGATACACCAATTATGAAGGACGTGCTGTGTATCCAGTGATGGAAAATCCGGACTACACGGAGAAAGTGAGATACAATTATGGTTATGATCGAAACTATTATGAGGCGGACGGTCGTTATGCGTCCTCAGACTGTAGATACACACTGGATGTCCGATATCCAGACACTAGACACGCGGACAATCGAATTCAAGCTGATAGTAGAGAGGCTGATTGTAGATATCCGGTGGACAATCGTGATATGGATAGAAGATACGTGGTTGATGGTAGAGATCCAGATGGCAGGTACGCTATCGAGAACAGAGAAGTAGATGCTAGATATCCACCGGACGCAAAGGAAGTGGATGCCAGGTTTGCGGATACTCCAAGATATCCGGCTAAAGAGAATTATTACGATCGTTATTACAAGCACCGTCCATCGAGGGATCACCATGTCTCGGATACGTCAAGATACTGATGAGTCTTGTTACTATCGTTAAATACATATGTCACGTTTCAACGGGAATAAATTTGAATAATTTAATGTAATATAAATTTAATATAAAAACGCTCAGTTTATCTTATATACTCATCTTTAAAAGATAAAAAATCTGACAATATTTGTTTCGTTCAATTTTTATTAACTCTCAATTATTGTGTATCTCATATTTGTTTTTCCTTTTTTGAATTGTATGCATTATGTGCACATATATATGTATTATTAAGGAACGATATTGATGAGCATACATAATTTTTCAATGAGAACAAAATAATTAAAAATATATCATAGTTCATAAATGATTTTATTTTGGAATCGATAAATGATCATTTAATATATTGTTGAAATGTATATTCCCTTTGATTCGTGATCTCTGTTGCAGATATTAAAAAAAAAACAAACAAAAAAAAAAAGGAAAAAAATTTCGTTGTCTACTAGCAATAATTTCGAATAACTGTCTACATTTTATTATCAACTATTGCGCTTAATCAGTTTAAGATAATGTAATATATACATAGCATGAAATTTTACATCGAATATATACAGAGAAAAAGGATATTATACGGATCTTGTGCATGAATTTTAAAGAGGCCATAGTGCTTAAGTGTTATATATTTACATATTATATATATATATATTTATATATATATTATAATATATATTATTAATAAATATATATATATATATTTGTGGAGATACAAACTGTAAATTGACAAAGCGATACTTTTTTTCTGAAATTGTTAGCTAGACATGTATATCAAAAAGAGTTTTCTATAAAACTTGACGTTAGTGCAGATTAATTCAATTCTTTTCTTTTTTGTTCAATTTATATATTTTTAAATAGAATAAATGAACGTTTATTTTTATAGATTTCAACGATATTTTAATTAAAAAAAATACGAAAAACAGTTTATAACAAAGTTGTTCAAAATATTTAAACAATAGAATCAAGGTATGCTTGATCTTCTTTTTGATAAGTAAAAGATAACAATAATGTGCACTGTACGCAAGTTTTAATGGATAAAACAAAACAAAACAAAAAAAAAAAGAAAAAAGAACAAAAAATTACCAAAAACCTGTGAAAATCTGTTGTACATGATTGATTGATTGTGCGTTTGTGCGTAGGAGGGAATGATTCAGCAAGTACCCTGCAAGGTATTCGTGGGACGCTGTACAGAAGACCTAACTGCTGATGATCTGCGCGACTATTTCTCCAAATATGGCGAAGTGACGGACGTGTTCATCCCAAAACCTTTCCGTGCATTTTCATTTGTTACTTTCTTAGATCCCGAGGTAGCCCAGTCCCTGTGCGGCGAGGATCACATTATTAAAGGAGTGTCTGTACACGTATCGAACGCTGCGCCTAAGTCCGAGGGGAACAATAAGAATTTCAATAATCAAGTGAACTCGAATATGCGTAGAGGCGCCCCAGGTCCCGTCGAGAATAACGTGCAGGGAAACTATCAGGGTAACCGATACATGGGCCATTCAGGTAATAATATGGGTCCAAATGGGTGGAACAATCCAGGGAATCGAGGCAATTTGGATATGCCTAACCTCCAAGCATTGGGCATTACCGGGCAGAATAATGGCGGCGGCGGTGGTGGTGGTATGTCGAATCCACTGGCGATGGGAGGTCTGAATTTATCCGCATTACCAGTCAACCCGGCTCTGGTTGCAGCTGCATTGAACCAAGCATCTTGGGGTTTGATCGGTAACTTGCAGAATCAGGGAAACGATCAGGGCTATTCGAACCAGCCTGGCCCACCTGGTCAGCCACCTTCAGGCAACAATAGTATCGGTAACAGTGGAAACTCTGGCTTTCTCAGTTGGATGAATCAAGGGGGTGGTGATGGTAATACTGGCAATCCTGGAACAGGTGGTCCAGGCCCGAATAATCCGAATGCATCCCAAGGTGCTTGGCAGAATCATCCTGGACAGCGTGATCAGAAATCGAACACCTTTCTCAAGTACGAATAAGCAGCATGGAGGGTCCCAGTGTAGTCGTGGAAAGTGGAGAATTCGTTCCTTTGATCCTGATACACATTAACTACAGTGGCAAGAGTCTAGACAAGTGTATGTAGGTACAAAATATTAATTTTTTCATTCGTATAATGACAGAACCAAAGCCCTTGTCGATGGGGAAAAGAGTTTTGTAAATTTTTTCTGTTCTTTTCATCCCATGAAACGAACAGAGAGAAATAGAATATTTCTCGTTCTTTTTTTATTATTATTATTATTATTATTATTATTATTATTATTATTATTATTCAATTTCATTTAATTATATTAATTGTAATGATTAAATTTAAAGTAGCATGCTCCATGAATGTAGCAACAAATAAACGAAAAGAATTTTTTTTCATCTTCTTACATGTTACGTGAGATATAAAAAAAATATGTATGTATATCTAATCTTTTCTCTCTCTATCTCTCATTTTCTTGGTTTTCAAGAATTAGCACAATATTTTTCAAGTACGTGTTTTAGAAAGGACGGATAGCTTCGATCCATCTGCACCTGTATACTAATTGTATGATCTCATTTCAAACGTGCGGTCTAATCAATTCAGAAATAATATATAATGAACTAAAATAATGAGATGATGAGGATGATGATGATATGTTATGATAATGCTGAGAATGAGGTTGAAATTAAGATTGAAATTAATTATGATATCCAAGATGGGGCAATAATTTTGACTATTTTTAATATCTACTTTTGGAAATATTGAGAAATTTTATAACAAAAATTGTATGGTATGATATGATATTCATTTTTTTTATAATTAATCGATTGTCAAAAATATTTATTTTTTAAATTAGTTGTATTGTTTTATTCCAGATAAATAATAGATGCTTAGACGATTCAATGACCTATAATATAAGATTATTCGACAATAAATAATGAAGTAAAATGTCAGATTATAGATATTTGAAGTGTTTATAATTCATAATGTTGAAATTATCGGATACTTGAAATTCACTTCAAAATTCTTTATTGATCAATATGTGATGTAATACAATAAATCTTTATTTTAGATTATGCA